AGGAATGTCCCCCCAGGGATGTCCCCCCAGGGATGTCCCCACAGTACCTGGCTGGCGGGGGAGGGGTCCTGGGCGCCGGCCGTGGGGTGGCTCAGCAAGGGCGGGGGGCTCAGCGAGGGGGGGAGGGGATGCTCCGAAATGATGGTGCCTGAGGGGGGAGGGGAGGGGAGGGGTGTCACGGTGGCTCTGGGGTCCCCTGACACCCCCTGTCCCTTGTCACCCCCTCCCTGGGACATCCTGTCCCTTGTCACCGCCATCCTCACCCCTCCTGTCCCTTGTCACCCCGTGTCCTGATCCCTGCTGTCCCTTGTCACACCATGCCCCCATCCCCATTGTCCCCACTGTCCCCTGTGTCCTCCCATTGTCCCCACTGTCCCCTGTGCCCCAGTGTCCCCTGAGTGTTTCCTGAGTGTCCCCTGTGCCCCAGTGTCCCCTCACTGTCCCCTCAGTGTCCCCCCAGTGTCCCCTGAGTGTCCCCTGTGCCCCAGTGTCCCCCAGTGTCCCCCCAGTGTCCCCTGAGTGTCCCCTGTGCCCCAGTGTCCCCTCAGTGTCCCTGAGTGTCCCCCCAGTGTCCCCTCAGTGTCCCCGAGTGTCCCCTGAGTGTCCCCTGTGCCCCAGTGTCCCCCAGTGTCCCCCCAGTGTCCCCTGAGTGTCCCCTGTGCCCCAGTGTCCCCAGTGTCCCCCAGTGTCCCCAGTGTCCCCCAGTGTCCCCTCAGTGTCCCCCGAGTGTCCTCTGAGTGTCCCCTGTGCCCCAGTGTCCCCAGTGTCCCCCCAGTGTTCCCAGTGTCCCCCAGTGTCCCCCAGTGTCCCCTAGTGTCCCCTCAGTGTCCCCCAGTGTCCCCTGTGCCCCCAGTGTCCCCCAGTGTCCCCTCAGTGTCCCCCAGTGTCCCCTGTCCCCCAGTGTCCCCAGTGTCCCCAGTGTCCCCAGTGTCCCCTCACCGAAGCTCTCGGCACTCTTGGTCCAGGCCTGCAGGTCCCACTGGAATTTCAGGTCCCCCTGGGGCTCCAGGGGCTCCACGGTGACACGGAGAGCCCGGAGCAGCTGGGAGTGGATCTGGGACAGTGGGGACAGAGGGGACAGAGGGGACAGAGGGGACAGAGGGGACAGAGGGACGTGGGGACACTGCCCGGGACAGCGGGGACAGAGGGGACAGAGGGATGTGGGGACACTGCCCAGGACAGGTTGGGGACAGAGGGACGTGGGGACACTGCCCAGGACAGGTTGGGGACAGAGGGACGTGGGGACACTGCCCAGGACAGGTTGGGGACAGCAGCACTTGGGGACACTGCCCGGGACAGGGGGTGGCACAGCGTGGGGACAGGGCAGAGCGCCTCAGGGACGTTGTGACAGCACAGGGACACCCAGGGGACGTGAGGGGGGACAGGATGTGGCACTCTGGTGTCGTCTCCCAGGGGACCTGGCATGGACAGCCCCCGGCTCCAGCACCAGGGGACACCAGGGCAGTGACACCAGGGGACACGTGGGGACAAACCATCCCTTGGGGACTGTCCTGTGACCCCCTGAACCCCAAAACAGGGGACACAGGGGACAAGTGAGCCCAGGCGAGACAAGGCACAGCCCAGGGGTGGCTTCACTCCGAGAGTGCAGAGTCCCGGTGACAGGGGGACATAACTGTCCCCAAGTGTCCCCAAGTGTCCCTGAGTGTCACCTCCGGGGGTCCTGGCCCGAGGTGCTGCTCTGGGGGGCTCCGAGAGGAATCTGGGGGGGCCCAGGGGGGTCTGAGGGGGGTTTGGCTGCTCAGCACGGCCTGGGGACAGCTCCACTCTGAGAGCGCAGAGTCCCGGTGACAGGGGGACACAGGCGTCCCCAAGTGTCCCCAGCTGTCCCCAAGTGCCACCTCTGGGGGTCCTGGCCCGAGGTGCTGCTCTGGGGGGCTCCGAGAGGAATCTGGGGGGGTTTGGGGGTTCAACCCTTCAGCAGCAGCTCAGCACGGCCTGGGGACGGCTCCACTCTGAGAGCGCAGAGTCCCGGTGACAGCGGGACAAAAGTGTCCCCAGCTGTCCCCAAGTGCCACTCCCTCCCTGCCCGAGGAGCCGTTCAGGGGTCCCTGGGGGTATTTTGGGGGGTCCAGGCCCTCACCAGCCTCCTGGAGAGCAGCAGGGCGGTGCCGTGGGGGCTGTCGAGGGCCCGGGCTGCGAAGCGCAGGACGTGCTCCTGCTGCCGCTGCGCCCGGCTCAGCGCGCGGTGCTGCCGCTCCAGGCGCTCCTGACGGCCCTCGGTCACCCTCTGAGGGGACAAACGGGGACACCTGTGTCACCCGGTGTGACACTCGGGGACACCTGTGTCACCTGGTGTCACACTCGGGGACACCTGTGTCACCTGGTGTGACACTCGGGGACATCTGTGTCACCTGGTGTGACACACGGGGACACCTGTGTCACCCGGTGTGACACTCGGGGACACCTGTGTCACCTGGTGTCACACACGGGCACACCTGTGTCACCTGGTGTGACACTCGGGCACACCTGTGTCACCTGGTGTCACACTCGGGGACACCTGTGTCACCTGGTGTGACACTCGGGGACATCTGTGTCACCTGGTGTGACACTCGGGGACATCTGTGTCACCTGGTGTGACACACGGGGACACCAATGTCACACGGGGCCACTGCCACGCCCGGCTCAGGGCGCGGTGCTGCCGCTCCAGGCGCTCCTGACGGCCCCCAGTGACCCTCTGAGGGGACAGATGGGGACAAACGGGGATAGATGGGGACAGCAATGTCACACAGGGGACACACAGGGCACAGCAATGTCACACAGGGGACAGCAGTGTCACACAGGGGACAGCAGTGTCACACAGGGCACAGCAATATCACACAGGGGACACACATGGGACACAGGGGACACCAGGGGACAGCAGTGTCACAGAGGGGACGGCAATGTGTACACACAGGGGACACAGGGACAGCAATGTCACACAGGGAACTCACAGGGGACAGCGATGTCACACAGGGGACAGCAGTGTCACACAAGGGACGGAAGTGTCACACAGGGGACACACAGAGGACAGCAATGTCACACGGGACACCAGGGGACAACAATGTCACACAGGGGACAGCAATGTCACACAGGGGACACACATGGGACACAGGGGA